CTTAAACTCGAATTTAAAAAGTTGGTTTGAATCCCTTGCATCTCCAACTGATGTACATTTAGCTTCACTGTACAACCTAGTCAACTATTAACAATAAAAAACATTGTGAACTTGGTCTTTGGAAGCATAGCCTTTCAACTGATTAATTTGTTTTTATAATTCTGAACAAAAATTATACCCAGTCATTATGTACTGTTACATATTAATTTATTTGTTCTCAAGTGAAAATTTATTCGAATAAGTTACCTTTAATTCTGTCCGGTTTTACAAGCATTCGACACAGGATGGATACGTATATGTAGGGGTATGTGTGGTTGAGTAAGTGTGTGTGTGTCTTGTTTGACGTGAATGACCCTTTAGGGCGTCAGTGGTTCAGCGGTTAGGACTCTCGCCGTCCATGCAAATGGTCTGCCGACGCATACCTGATATCTATGGTTGGCCTGCAAAATTTGGGCTACCGATATCATATGCTGAAAATTTCATAGTTGGATCGAAATACGGAGTGGAATCAAGCTATAATAAAAAAATTTACTTAGTTTCAATGAAAAGGATGTATTTTCATGTGTCAGATCCTTAAATCCTTCAAACAGACGAGGTCCTGATGGTGTGCCAAGCATTTTGCTTCAAAAGTGTGCTGATATTTTGTATTATCTTCGTACACAAATCTTGAATGCATCATTTCACAGGGATACAGTACCTGTTGCCCAGAAAGAAATAAAGGTGGTACCTATACGAAAATTATCTTTTGGATCAGATCTAAAGTGTAGGCCAATCGCCAACACGTCTGCTTTTTTGAAAACCATAGAGAAGCTTCTCTTGCGTGTTCTTAAACTTTCTTTGAAATCTTTTAGTGAACTAAGGAATTTTGCTTACAAATGCAGAAGAAGCACTTAAGAGGCTTTCGTTTACTCCGCCACAATATTGTTTCAAGTCTCGATAAAGGCCCAAAGTTTGTTCGAGCCTCTTTTCTAGACTAGACTGCTGCTTTCGACTCTATTCATAGGGCACTTTTACCGAGCAAGTTGATTTCAGCAAACACCGAGTCTAGCTGAATCACAAGGTCGCTGTCTTCTAAATTTTCAGGTAGAAAACAACATACCGTTTTGAATGGAAAAGTGTTCCACTTCTTTTTTAACGGAAACCGATGCGCCTCAAAGCGCTGTACCCTCTCCGTTCCTGTTTTCTTTCTTTTTGCATTACCTTCTATATTCCTCCAAAGCTAGCTTCATTAAATATGTAAATGATCTAAGCATTTCTGTCCCAGTAGTATCTGCTTTCGACTGTTCCCATATAAACATATTTTTATCTGAAGTTAACGGATGGTCTCAGCGAAACCGTCTTAGACCGACTTCATTTATATTTCGTGCTGTCTCAGATGTGAACAAGGCCTGGGTGGATCGATTCAGTCTCATGGTTCCTGTAATATTGACGGCACTGTGATGAGGAGTAAATCGAATATCTTTTATCTCGGCATCAGTTTCTCTTAAAATCTCTGTTGGTCGTTTCATATCCTGTCGATTTCTAAGAAGCATTTTTGTTTGACTTATCACGTAAAGAAGATGAAACTTTCTAGCATCACAAATCAACCTTTTCTCTGAGAATATATCGATTCGCCCTTATTCTTCCCTGGACTTCTCAGAAAGGATTATATCATGTTACACGGGAAACTGAAGGCTGCAAATGGGATTAGGGGTATGCCTTTGATTCAACCAACTCACATTTTTGTCAACAGACACTTCGATTCTTGAGAGCATTTGACTAGAAGCATCTTGTGTGATACTGCACATTCTCTTTATTCGGAACTTTTGCCTTGTATATTTTCGGACAAAACCAGAAAACACTTCATAAGAATTTATGGTCGTACAACTAAATATAAAAATTCTGCTATACTATACTTACCATTGGTTTTGTGTGAAAGGTCAGATGTCAGAAAATAGCTCACAAACTTTTTAAATCAGCAAATGGACTGCAAAGTATAAGCAAAGATTATTATTGCGTGTATGATGCTAACTATCTATAATTCATCATGTTTCCACCGATCTTCGGTTATTTATGGTTTTGCTTTTATTTTTTAAGATTTTACGTATCTACATAATTATAAAATGAGCTAAATTGTTGTAATATGTATAAAAATGCTGAAAATTACATTCTCTATGATTGTTTGGAAAAAAGTGATTATTATTATTAAATAATGCCTTGATATGATTCATTTCATTGTTTAGAAATATGCATGTAAAGCTGTTTTCAATAATTTCCATTCTATATGTGGCTGGTTGTTTGTGAGACACATTAGATTTGAAAGCTCTCGTAACACCAATGAGTTTCCATCCACCTTGAATCTTTTCTGTTTTTATGTTATAAGCTTAAAGCTGTGGATATAACCGAATCATGCATACATTGCTGTAAACATAAGAACACAATGTGATAAACAATTCACTTATTAACATAATTTGTTTTTGTTAATAGAATGTCAGTAAAAACAATTCTTCTTCTCTACTGAGACATAAATTCTCTGGGTGATTGAGTAATTTTTCATTGGAAATATCAGCACTCATTGGAAGGTGGTGAGTCGTCAGAGTGCTACTCTAGGTCTTTATTCCAATAATTAAATAAATCGTTTTTTGGATTGAGAATATTGTGATCGAGGCTGACTAATTAATAAATGTTAAATAAAGAGCAAGTTCTCATCTGCACTGTGGTAGAAGTACTTATTGAACTCTTTCAGTAACTAAAGCCACCAATTATTGTTATTTGTAAACACACTGACCAGTATGTCTCTTATTTCAATTAATATTTGATCATTGTCAAAAAGTCCTTCTCAACAAATTCATCAGAAGAAATATGACTAAGAAAGTTGAAAAGGACTATTCACTATCTGTAAACAAGAAGCCTTTATAAATACGACTGCATTTCAAGGGCGATGTACTTAGCGGAATAATTACGAAGAATTCATGGCTAATCCCCATTCAGCCATTTGTGAAACAAAATCACGTAGTTCAGTGAAGAGTCTCTTTTTGGGGAATTCATTTTCTTAGATGTACAACAGCAAATATATGTGTTATTTTGTATGTATGTGTACATTAAGTCTGTCAAACAAAAATTGTGGTTATTTTAACTAAAAAGGTGAAAATTAGTAATTTTTGAGTAGAGTTACGTAATGCAAAAAAGGTCAAGAAAATTTGGTGTTAATGAAACTAGTGTAGTAACAAAGGTGATGAGCTGTCACAAACAGGTATTAAAATAAGTTATGTAATAATTTGAATAGTTTAATGAGTGAGATTTACTCACGATGCATATAGAAACAAAGTAGATAATACGAAATTACGTAATAGTTCTAAATGAATACAAGAGTTATAAACAATTAAAGAAACAGGCAAACAAACAAAAATGAGTCATCAAAATCAAAAAAGTTGTTACTTGTTTGCCTGCCTCTTTAATTGCTTGATCAGTTCAAAGAACTTTTAGCGCTCGGAAACTACACGAGCGATCGTGTTTCGTCAATTAAAAAATGAAGTACCTAAACTAACCACTTCTAATTGTATCTACCAATTCAACTGCTCTTGTGAAGCGAGTTATATTGGGCTAGTTTCGCATATGCCAGTTTACGCCGTCTCTGGCGTAGACGTGATATCCGGCTGGCTATCGACCAAAGGGCGGGTGTACTGCTCATCAGTCCGCTCCTTCCTCCTTTATGGCCAGCTGTGAGAACTGTCCATTGAGACTAGAAGACATGAAAAGATTAACTATCTTTGATCATAGGTGCCTGCGCTCTATCTCCCGTTTGAAGTGGCATAATAAGGTGAGCAATATTGAGGTTAGGCGTAGAGTGCTAGGTAAACGGGGGAAATCAATCGACGAGGTTGTGAAGTTAAATCAACTGAGATGGTTAGGACATGTTGTTACGTATGCCTAGTCATCGCCTTCCTCGAGGGGCAATGCTAGCTGATATAGGGTCAGGCTGAAAAAGAGCTAGTGGCGGTCAAACCAAAACATGGCACCAGTCAATGAAATCGATAACAGTTAGTCTAAGCCACGTAGGAAAGTGTAGACTTCCTGACCAGTTGAGGTCTTCGGGATGGTAAAAACCAATGGTTGGAAACAATTGGTGATATGGCTAAAAATCGTTCTCAATGGCTAGTGCAGATGCATCCACTTCTTGTGACTTATGATTTCCAATGAAACTATATTGTTCTTCTTTTTTACTATTCCTTTGTCTCACAATTCTGTTTACTATCTCTATTATACATTTCTTCTACTTTCTTCTTTTGCTTTGTGTACGACATAAAAGGAGTGTGGTGACTTGAACTGCCGCACATCGGTGCAAAGTTCTATGTCGAAAATAGACAAACAGAGAGTCAATATGTCTTAAACACTAATCAATCCATGTTATAGTAGTAATATGCATCTAAAATGGGCTTCCTTGTTGCAGTGATTTCTCCACTTCACGACAAGATATACACTTCAAACATATAAATCTTTTATGGGGCAGCATTCTTGTACTATTTTTATTTTTATCATTATTTCGATGAGTTTCTTAGTCTGATTTGTTGGATGTAGATTTGTATCACTTTTCGCTTGAAGTTTTCTTGTTGTTGTTGTTGTACCCGTTATAACTACACTTAAGCCCACACATACTTGTAGTGCACATTGTATATGCAGTCCCAGTAGGCATTTCACTTGGCATCATGTAAAACGCTTAGCAATTCTCTGTAACCAAATACTGTGTGCGTGTTTTTCTTTCCAAAATCAGATTGTAGACTTCAATTTATATTTGATTGAATTTCTACCTTTGAAAAACATCTCATAATTAATTGATAATGTGTGCAACAGAGTTACTTGGTGGTTAGTGTTAGTTTTTTTTTATACAAAAGTCAATCAAAACAGAGTGAATTTTTTATTGACTCCACTTCTTCGATTTCCGTCATCTGATGTGCAAGCGTAGAGAGATAATCACAATTTTATTATTAATTTTAATTTTCCGTTTTTTTTTCAATCTTTAGACTGTTACAATAGCTGTGTACGCATATTTCGGTACATGTTTACTTGCATGGCAGTATTTGGATCCGGCTAAAAATTATGAAGGTCATGATGTTGATATATATGTGCCAATCTTCGGTCTCCTACGTTTCTTCTTTTATATTGGATGGCTTAAAGTAAGTTGAATTTTAAAGAACCTTAAACTATTCGCATGGTAAGTGATTAGTAACATTTTGTTTATGTACTCTTAGACTGAGTAGAGAATGATTGTTTGAATTACATACAACTTGGATTTATTAGGAGTACTCACCTAATTGTTTGTTGGATTTAAGTTGTGTGTGTGTGTTTGCTTTTTTGAAGGTAGTCTGGTTAAATCAATGAACTGCCTGAATTTCCATCCATCAAAATGCTTAAACTCTTCTGCATTTCTTAATCTTTTGATCAAACAGTCATATCAAAAGGTTACTACATGAACTCGCGCACATATTTAATCAGCTTTCAAAGAAACACTGTGGAATGTTTGTAGGAAATGAAGTGAAAATGAACAGAATTAGTTCTCTCTCTCTTCATATGTAACAACACTATGTCACATGATATATACTTCAGATTATTACTTTACATTTTTAATCCAGTATGAAGATGGAATATTTTGGAACTAAATATACTCCAATATCATTCTCTATTTGTTGATCTTGCTTTATTGGTATTTCTGAAGTCACTTTTTTTGTTAAAGTCAATCAGGTGGATTCATTTCCAGTTCACTTTTGAAATCAGTGCTTGAAATCATTGAAAAAAAAATACATAGAAACGAATCCCGATGGGTGCGTACTACTGAAGAGTCCCAAACTAGAACAAAACAGCTGTCCAGTACTCCCAGGTTTTCCAATGGTTCTCTAACTAATGTCAGCTCATGATGAAATCCTGTAACCAATCAACCAAATCCCTACAAACCAATACTTGAATACCAATGAGATGCTCACTAGCGACTAGCCCTATACAGGTAGGTAGTTACCTGGGGTCCCAGTGGGAATTCGTGACCAGTAAGGTGCAGCAGATCGGGTGTGAGGACAAATAATCGCCGAAGACATCGTCTAGCGGTCGCGCTATATCGTGAATTGGCAGAAGTTAGAATTCATGCACCATTGGATCAGATCCCAGTGGCTTAATTTTCGGTCTACGAGCTCGCTGGCCTTATAACCAGAGGGTCCTGAGTTCGAACCCTGGCGATGGGTGCGTACTGCTGAAGAGTACTAGACTAGGACGAAACAGCTGTCCAGTATTCCCAGATTTTCCAGTGGTTCTCTAACCAATGTCAGCTCATGATGAAATCCTGTAACTGAATAGATTAACACTGAAATCCTGCAAGAACTATTTACGTTACATGCATCATTTTTAATTTTGCTAGATTTCCAAAGCAGTTGACAAAGACAAAGCGAACATTTTGAGATTTTCCATATTTCAGATAAAATTTTTTGATGCAGTACACAGTAATTCAATATTATACACTAAATGACAGCATAATATATTACTCCAAAGGAATTATATTTTGGTGCAAACAGAATCAAATCTGATCACGTAACTTCACTCCTTGACAGAAAGAAGATTGCATTAGAGGGGAAAAGAGAGGAGTTCTTTCTTATGGTTAGCAGATTACAGAGTTACAGGACTTCATCATGAGCTGACATCGGTTAGAGAACCATTGGAAAACTTGGGAGTACTGGACGGCTGTTTCGTCCTAGTTTGGGACTCTTTATCAGTACGCACCCGCCGGATTTCGAATCCAGGATCTTCTGGTTACAAGGCAAGCTCGTATACCATTAAGACACTGGGACCCGATCCAGAGTGATTGTGTCACAAAGAGTGTTCCCAACAGATTGCAGACTTTCACCAACATATGTATTTGGTCCATACTGAATATCAGATGACCAGAAAGAATCAGCATCAAGAAACTGTGTTGGCCGACGAACCAACCAAAAATTTATCGCCCGAAAAATATAACGAAGAAAATCGAAGTGGATTAGATACACTCTAGCAGACCATTTAGTGACATCAAATGTCACATAGACCCTCAAGCGGAACCTGATTGGATGTTTGAGGGTGACATGGAGGAGATCGTATGATCAACAGACAAGAGGTTATGGATATTCGTGGACTGCAGAGAAGAGGATGAAATGGAGATTTTCTGTTGAAACTCATGTTCCACTTAGGACCCGAAGGAACGATAATAAGGAAAGAGTGAGTAAAACTATGCAGTGCAATTTAGAAAGTTGTGTGATTACCTTGATCTGATTGTGCACTGTATATTAGGTTTAGGACTTCAGTCAATTGATAATAATAATAATACACGATTACTAAGCAATTACTTCTTCATTAAGGTGACCAGCCGTAAAGACTTCGTCACATATTTTGTACCTTTCTCCATGGTTAAGGTCTATGCTTACAAATTAGCTGTATTGGTATGCTTTTTTTTACCTGAGAATGTAAATCATTTCTAAAGTACTAATATGTCTATATTGGCCACTAGACTGAGGCTGGTTGAATACTATCAGTCAAGTTTGTAAGATGGTCAACACACTAGGTAACTGGCCAGAGCCGTTTACTTGGAATCGGTATTATGCGGCTAGAGTTAATCTCTCAGAAGACTTGGACGTAGGTTCCGGGCTTGTCGACACTCTTCAACAAGATGTATCTAAAATCCTAAACCTAGGTTACTCAGTAATCTAGTCAGAGATGTGGCCACTGTGCTATTCGAGCTTACAATTAATGCCATTAACAACAGGATGTTTGTTTCATATATATTTAGAAATCCTGTTGTCTTATGTAGTTGGATAAATTGGTTACGAATCTATTCAAAGTACTCTGATTAGTGTTTACACAGATTACCAACTAGTTTTTTTGTTACTCGCATAAGTACAAGTAAACAGTCCTAATAGTCTCGTCATTTTTACAGGTTCATTGTTTACCCAATTCACTAATTCATTCATCTATCTCTATGTATATACCAAAATAGGTAGCTGAATCATTAATTAATCCATTTGGAGAAGATGTTGATGACTTCGAGATTGAATACTTGATTGAAAGAAATTTACATGTAAGTTACTCTTAATATCAATTGGATTTTTAATATAGTTACGTATGTATTTATTCAAACCCCCTTTTTTAATGTTACGTTGACAACAGTATCTAGTAATCAGTTGTAGCGCATTCCTGTAATAAAGTTTCCTATTCATTGTTTACTGGCTTTAATTAATTTTTGTTTTTGAAATTATATGAATTCCTGATAAACACCTGTTGACTTCTGATCTTCTTTAGTATAATTAAAAAGAAGTGTTAACACCTAGAAAATTCGATTGTTCAACCTTTTCGTTCATGAAAACAAATGGCCTTTGTGTTTTTTTTGTTTAATTACGAACCTCCCTATTTATAACATAAGTTTGGAAACAGCAGATTCTGCTACAGTTTAAATAGTAGAACTGAATATTTGATGGTTATTTCAAAGGAATTTAAAGTAAATACGAACGAATTGAGAAGATGAACTTAATTTCTCTGAAGGCAGTTGAATACTTTATAAACGCCTTACAACATACACTAGCTAGCTGTCAAAGGATATGATGTGTATCGAAATCCACATCTCGAAATGAAAATACCAGTCCAATTGGGTCAAATAATTAAATAATCTTGAATGGAAGGAAAGCATAGACTGTCAGAAAATCCTTAGAAGCCTGTTAGTAAATAAAACCGATTCATAACTAGTAGACATCTCGATGCAGATAACTGGCATCAATGTATAGAGGATCAGTCACAAGATCAAAAGGTTGCCAGGGACAACCAAGATCATCCATAAGCAATCTCGAATGTTGACTTCTCATTGATGTTAGAGTTGATGATTTTGTCTAGAGGGGCAATGAATATTTCTCGAATAAGCTTTTCAGCCCAGAGAATACGATAATGCCAAATACATTCACGTTACCATTTATCCAAGATGCATAAGTATTTTAATGCAATGGTTTTGACTATTGCCGATATAAAATCGCTTGTGAAGAACACACTACATAGTCTAGCACAAGTGTATTTCTGCTTAATTTGCGATAATCAATTTAAGGTCAGAGAAAAATATGTGGAAAAAAAACAAACAAACAAATACAAAAGTATGTAGTGAATACTGATGAACAGCTTGAGATGAATAGTGAATGTTGGTTATTTTCTCACTTTTCTGGTCGACTTTTACACAGATTCCTGGTAGCATCTAAATATTGATTGTACTTGTTATTGTTTCTTTCGATCAAGAGGCCTACAGTTATTTGTTTAATGCAGACTAGTAATAATCAATGAGTTTGTAGGCTAGTTTTACTTTATATATATATATATATATATATATATATATATGTATATATATATATATAGTATACGCTATGTGAAGTTAGATTGATGTCCTAATCTTATATTGAGTTGAGTCCGTGCTGAACTAAGTTATCAATGTAAACCTATGCATAAAAGTGCAGCATTTCAAGTTACCACACTTCACAAAGCATAGATAAAGGTAGCCAAATATGTCTTTAAAAAGAAAGTATAATAGACGGAAATTCGCTAAAGAAAGAATAATTACACGAGGAATAATGATAAATTAATGAGTCAATGAAATTAATCCCATGCAAAAAAACCCTTAAAGATTAATCTGATGCTCGCTAGTAATTGTCTGCAGGACAAAGCTTCCTTGAGTCCTAGTGAGAATTTGTGTTCAGTGGAGTCTAACCGATCGGGAGTGAGGACAAATACTCATCGCTGATAATATTGACTTTTGCCACTGGCGCTAAAGGGACGAACTGTTATAAGTCCGAATTCATGGGCTAGTAACTGATTCGGGTTTGAGTGGCTGAATGGTCTACAGGCTCGCGAAGGTCCCCAGTTTGAACACATGTGGGGGGTGTGGACTGCCGATGAGTAGGGAATTAGGACGAAACAGCTTTCCAGTACTCCCTGCAGGTTTCCAATGATTCTTTAACTGATATCAATCCGTGGTAAAACTTGAAACTAAAGAAATCCTTACTACCAAACTTTTGAAATCATATTCAAATACAGATATTATAAGAGAAATAAGTATTATTACTTCCGATTCCATTCTCTTATGAACACAATTTTGATTGCTGATGGATTTTCTCTGCAGTTATGCTGTCTGTTCAACGAGAATCTCAGTAAATTGTCTGTCAATATTATTCTACCCTCTTTTTTCTTTAAGGCGAACATTATTCACGTCTTCTAATCAGTAGTATAATGCTAAACTGTAAAAAGGGAATACTATATTTCTTTTCATTAGAGTTTAAGGAATATTAGTTTCACTGAATTGTTTTTTTTTCTACATTCACCCAACAGGATGACAAGTTCAAGTTAGTTTCTCAACATAAGATCTTTTGTTTGGAGAACCAATAACAATTAGGATAGACTTAATAGCTGTCTACTCTAGTTTAAAACTTTTAACATCAAAAAATCGTTGTAACCGACGGAAATGTGTCTCTGTGTTATTCTGCGTTCTAATAAAAACTGCATTTATTATTTTTTTTTCTGCATAAAGAAAGTACACTATATAGTCTTAGTTAAGGTCGTAATTCTAATTAGTTGTATATCATGTGTCTTAAGGGGGTTTTCATTTGAATATTTATGTAAATATATATACTGAGGTTTAATAGTTGCTCTCCTCCCCCACCCCACCCCCCAACTATAGTTGTGTACATATTAACACAATTCGTAAATTTATTCAGGTCAGCTTATGAATAGGTCTCTAAAAAGATTCACATTTTGTAACATGCATTTTGTATTGTTCAGTGTAACAAGGATCTTGCAACTGCGTCAACAACACAAAGAAGGGGTGATTTTTGCCTTTTTACTTATGGTTTGCATGAATATTCAGTAAACATGAGGACTGATTTTAGATAAATTGATCCTAACTAGTTGTCTTTTTCTTTAACTGTTGTGCATTACACGCCTAAAATCTTGTTTAAATTCATTTGGTCCTCTTCACTACTCAGTGTGGTGGATAAAAAAACCCACAACAGTTAATAAAACTCGTAGCATTACACATCTGTGTATCAATTAGTTGTTTAGTACTCAGTTCATATGTTAAAAAGAGAAGTTACCATAGATACAATAACGCCTAGTATCACAGTATTAAAATAGAAAAAAATTGCTATTTCCTTCTTTCAGAAAAGTAAGAAATTTGCTTGTTTGCTTGTTATCACGTGTTGAACAGTGGGAATTTGATTGGTTACAGGTTTGGCGACAAGCTTACATCGGTTAGAGAAGCACTAAAAAATCCAGAGAGTACTGGACAGTTGTTTCGTCCTATTTTGGGACTCTTCATCATTACGCAACCAATACAGAGGTTCTCATATAGGGCATTCTGAATACACGGCGAACTCGTAGACCATTCAGCCACTGGGACCGGATTCAATGGTCAGCGCATGAATTCTAAATCCTGCCAATTAGCGATATATATATGTATAAATAATATATAGCACGGTTGGTACCAGCCATTGTCACAGGCGAAAAACTTGGTGATTGACCCCATTACAACCTCATTACAACTTCCCAGTAGAATTCCGGGTAATTTTCTGTATACAGCCAGTTGCTAATGGGTATGAAGTGTTAGTCTGCAGGGATTTGATTGGCTACAGGTTTGATGGTGAGTTGATATCAGTAAGAGAACCATTGAATTCCTAGGAGTACTGGACAGCTATTTAGTCCAAGTTTGGGACTCTTTTATATTTTATTATTTCTAAGAAATCATCACTATGATAAAGTGTTCACCTAATTACTGAATTTAGTGAATCACCTGCATATTTTGCCTAGTGTTTATATATACATATATATTGTTGTGTATTGATTGAAATGGAGAAATGAATGGCTTTTTGACAGAATAGCATCTTGTCCATTTTTTAGCATAAAAGATTAACTTATCAATAAACTATCTTGTACTGATGAAATAAAACAGTTAATGTTTAGCACTGAATTCAGACATCTTTTATGATGAACTTTCGATATTATTTGGCTGAGATGTTGTTCATCACCCAACTCCCATCCCTCATTCCAAGTGATGAGTCAGCGACTATGATGTTTATGTAAGGATGGTAGTGGTTTTTTAACGTTTTAAGGCTGACAGCTTCATATCCAACCCTCCCACCCTACTTGTTTCGGGATTCAAAATTGATGAGTAGAACTTAGCCTACGTTTTACTAAATCTTGGTTGAGGTGCATTGTTAACGGCTATTTAAGTTTTTCGTTAATAATCACAATCTTTGCTGAAATCAACAATCTCAAGAAAACAGTTATTCCTGCATTGATTTTTTCTTATTACCTATGAGGCACCTGCTCTATATTTGTTGATTCTTCACTGGAATACACACCTGATGATTTCCTAATAGATTTTCCTTTAATCCAAACTGGTAATTTCAAGAAATCTTATACGTAAATTGTTGGAAACGTTTATTTCTAAACAATCGCGTTTTAGGCACTGTAATTACAATGTGTATGGCTATAATAGTTGTAGAGAAAGTATCATGGACTAATTATATCCTGCAGTATTGGGCTGATTAGTGAGTGACAGTCAATGTGATGAAATCTAATTGGTTGTTATTTGATTAATGCTCAGCGAAATCCATATTTGTATGATTGGAATTCCGACTGACTGACCGACGGACTTTAAGTCCAGTCTGTGTAGTTACACAGTCTGAATTTTTCAGATATTTGAAGGCAACATAAATTTGCCTACACGTCTATTGCTTGTTTATTCAATTTAAGCAAACAGAAATAGCCTCAATAAAATGTTATTTGATTTATCAGCACTCTCTGAAATTCATTAAACACCATAAAAGTGTTGAACAAAAGACTTCTTCAATCCATTCAGCCTTAGGAAAGTTAATTGCCAAAGATTACTCAGTAAAATTTTTTAAAAGAAACTCAGGGTATCACTCTACAAAACGTATTACGTAGCTAAAGTTACTTTTACTAGGGAAATAAAGTTATTCAGCAAACCGTCATAGTATCTAAAGGACACCGTCACATGCCAATGTGTTTTTTAACAATTTACGTGTGTGTGTG